ACTGTTTAGATTTTAACTATAACTATTGAAGTTAAATCATTAGTTTCAAAAAAAAATTGTTTTATCACTTAGGTAACGAATGACGTGAAAATTTGCACCTATAGTTTGAGTCATAGGATATTTTGAATATTTATATTGATGTATTTAATTTATAATTACATAATACGATCGTGATTATAAAAAAATAATATTTTTTCGTGCGATTTGAGTTTATAGTGACTAATAAGTGTAGTCAACCCATTTATAACATGGGTGACGTGAGTGTGAAAACTCCATTTCCGCACGAATAAGGGGAGGTTAAAAAAAACCTGTATAAAAAGCCTCCTTTATTTTTTTTTGTTTTTAGTCATACGTAAAGCTCTTTTCGTTTTTAAATGGAAAATTTATCACGCATAGCATATATTATACACTTCATTCCCGTTATCCTACCCCACGGGACGCATCGGTATAACCTGTGTTTTTATCTGCAATCCGACTGCCATTAATCTCATCGTCGGTTTCGGAACTCAATTGCGAGGCCATCACTACAGTGATAGTTACGTGTGTATACATACCGTTTTTATGTTTAAAAACAAAACTATGTATATGGTCAGAATTTCAACATAACAAAAATATTTATAAACTAACTACCAGCTCGAAACTGATGATGAATGTTTGGTAGTTGAGGTAAACCTTCAATTGTGTACGTACTTTAGGTTATTATTATTATAACTATAGTTCATTTTATTTTTATCCCTTGACAACAATCACAAAACATGTGATATTGTTTTAAAATGAGATTTTAAAAATAAAACGTGTGCGTATTTATATTTATTATGAACATTTTCAATGGATCGTAATAAACCAGAGTGTTGTTATAAATTATAATGCCAGAAAAATAACATATAATTAATATTATTTGGTTTTGGTTAATGATTCTTATGAAATATAAAAATGTACATTGAACATAAAAATAATTTTAAATAATAACTTCGATAAACTTTTAGTTTTTGCCTTTGATATCATGATATATTAGTTATTTATTTAGAATTTATTTTATAAAAACGTATATAACATTAATTTAGGTTAAAGTTAATACGTACATCATATATATATATATATAGTTAAAAAACTATATTGTGAAATTAATAACACATTTTCTCAATTTAATATTTTTAATACTTGATAGTGATTTATCTTACTTTCTTTTATATATCTTATTTTCTAGACAACTCTAAATTATTTCCATTTCCATTAATTCATATCACTCAGATAGATAAAAAGCTTCCAGTTAATACATTCACATATATATGAAATAAAAGAAGAAATATTAATATTCATAACATAAAAGAAAACATTAAAATTTAATTTTTATTGAACCAATGCAAACTTCTCTATTTATGTCAGCTGGCTTTTACTTAGTTCTGTTCTGATAATAACTCTGTACAGAATCTTTTTAACTCATTTGATAAAAAATATATTATTACTTATTTATACATAATATTTTTTCATTTATGTCAAATATTTCATAAGTAGTTACAAAATATTGAACAAAAAATGAGTAAAACATGGATAATATAAAGTAGTTACAATATTATTTAGTGTGATGAACTCCAGAACTTAAATATTATTAATTATCAATCTATTAATAGACTAAAAATACAAAAATGTAATAAGCACTAAGTTACTAAAAATATAATAAAATTTACTGATTGTTTATTGTACACATTTATTAGTATATGGAGTTTTATAAAAAATTTGGCGTCCACTTACACTCGGTATTTCATGGTTCTAAGTGAATCGTATTATAATATCTACTAAGATAATAATATAGGTGTATAAAATTAAATATTCATCTCTCATTATTCTACAATTCTTTAAATTAAATTAAAATATTTTATCAATCAATATTTAATCTTTATTGTTATTTATCTACAATATTAGTGCAATGAGGCGTTTTGTTTTCACTGATATTTTTATTAATTATATAATTAACAGGAAATACATCTAATTAAGTAAGTAAATTAAGGTTATAATAAATTAAAACTAATCCTTTTACTAACAAATAGTTGATTAACAAAAGACTTGAAAACTTTTAAAACTAATAAATTACTTGAAATAATAGATTCCGAAAATAAAAATTATATTCGATTTTTAAATAAACCTACACACTTTAAAACTTTTCTATTTTTTTCAAATTCAAATTAATCAATTACCTACGTATTTACTATATATGTTTTTGTATAAATTTACAGATTTGATATTTATTTTAATATTTTAGAATTTTATCTTTTTTTTTTAGAAAATACTATTTACAAAGAGCACTCAAAAATTGTCATAAGACTATCTGACAATTGAAAATTAAATCTAGGTGGTACTAAGAAATTTTTTTTTTCTATTTTATCGGTAGTTTCACTAAGCATAAGTACTACCGACAACCGTCCAAAACAGTTGAGACACGGTTTTGATAGACCTCGGCTCAGAATCATTTTCCATGTAAGATGATTTATTGTTTCTTTCAAATTTAATACCACAATACACCACTATCCTACATTGAGATGAGCGGAACAAATGAGTTGCCAATACTATTGATCTATAAACTTTTTTTATGTTCATATGTTTTATATATTTATATACATTATTTGTATTTATTTTGAATTGTTTACAATGCAATTACTATTTTTCATTTATTTAATTTACCTTTTTTACTATAAGCAGCACTAAGTCATCATAGAAAAAACTAGTACAACATCTACCGACTAAAAATATACACAAACAATTTGGTTTTATTACATTTGAATAAAAAATTATTTTTTGACAAATTTTAATACAATAATATTTACGAGTATATTTATAAATAAATATCTTTTTTTAATTATAATGTTTTTAAAATAGACTAGTTTTGACCCACGTTTGTCACGTTGTCCAATGCGGTGAGTCAATTTAGTAAAAACTCTAATATAATAAAAAACAATGATGAATTCGTTTCATTTTATCTGAAATATTTTGCAAGGAAGATTGGAAAATAGGTAGTGGGTAAATGAGGTACTTTTTTACAAGATGTTTGTCACCGTTCATTTACAATAATATTTTTTATTTTATTTCTATTATTTATAAACATTATTAACTCGATTATCGACGTTGTGTTATCATTCTTTGTAAACTCGTTATCGTAGTTGATTTTTAATTTATAGATTGTTTATTTCTGATATTATATTATTTAAATATGAGTACTTTCCAATAATATCGTTTTTGTGCCTGATTTTATTTGTGACCTAGATTCACACCTCGCGACTTAAAATATAAATATGAAAAACTTATTATACAATAAACTACTCAAAACTTATCAATTGCTTAATCTTCCTAATGCCATATTAATTTGGACAATTTAGTCCAATCATTTGTAAGGATTTTAAACCAATATTAATATGCCTGATCATTAATATTAATTTTAAATAAAAATATTAACGAGAATCGTATAGAATAAATACTTGTCTATTTTATTTCGACTGCGTTATTAAAAAAAAAATTCGCGTTATTTAATTTTTGTAATGGACGATAATGTCATATACTCCTCTGTATAATATAGTTACAGAATTTGAATTGTCTTTTATAGTTAAACATATGACAAACAATAATTAATATTATATATTTCACTATTAATATAAAATCAATTTTAATTTTCAAGATATTTTTGTTCTTGCTTACCTGTAGTTACTATACCTGTTATAATAATAAAATTATGTTTGATATTTTACTATTTTTCTGTTACATAAACGTATTATTAATATTATAACAGCCATTAGCTGTAATTTTGATATTCAGTTGTATAACTTATATTACAAAAATTAATAATACAATATATATTTGTTTGGCTCTGACAAGAGCTTTTGAATACATTTTTTTTGGAAATAACATTTTTATTTGTATTTTTAATCTTATGAACAATCACTTAGTGCAATGACGTAAATTAAATTTTAAACATACAATATAATATACACACGCTTACATGAAGTTACAATAAGAAGCACCGTCTAGGGAATTAATTATTGTTTATAATTCAAGTAGGTAGATATTTAGGTCTTTTTCTCCAGATCAAGTCTTCTACGTACTATTCCAAGAAATGATAATGAGTAAAATATATTTGTTTTATTAATGAATTGTTGTACGCATTTCATAATTTAACACGGATAGTTGACTATATATATTTTAACTCTTGGAGGTAAGTAGTTTTCAATCTTTTATTCGCTAAGTTTACGAGGTTAATTGAAAGATGAGTTCATAATTTGAATAGTCAAAAATTAGCATCATTAACTTAATAAATAAATTAATATTAAATATAGTACATTGTTATACCTAAATAATAAGTCGTCGTAATATTATTTGGAGTATATTATAAATTTTCCTCATTATTAGACGTAAATCAGAAATTATTATTATTTTTATTATTTTAAGTTTTTAGACTAATATTTTAAGAATAGCAAAAATATTTAAAAAATATTTTTTTCTCAAAATATTGACACTTTACTGTATTAAATAATATCAACAACATAAAATCCAACTTACGATGTCATTAAATATATACAGTGGCTATCATTATCAACATAAATTATAATTCAAGTTATGCGAATTTTGAACTGTTATGTACATAACAACTGTACATTTTTATAAATTATTTTCATAATTTTAAAAATTTTAGTTAGATTTGTCATAAAAAATTTACAATATTGTTCCGTAGACTTCAATCGACAGATTAAATTATATATTACACGGTTTACGATTATAATTGATATTTTGTCCTGTACAATATGTAATGCTCATAAAATTATGTGTTTATGTACATATACTACAATTTGCATTACATGTATTTTTAGTTTTTATTGTTATTTTAGATTCTAAAAATAACATAAAATGTATTCATACATAAAGAATATTGACTTCATTGTGAAAAAAAACGACTTTTGACCTGACAAAAATTATACTTTAATACTTATTACGAAATAACCATGGGATTCTCTTACCTGTAATGACGATAGTAATTGTGCAGACGACGAACAGCATGTCAGAACACTGGCGGCAGAATCCGTGCCTCAAAACCATGATGGTGATTACTGTGTTTATAAACCGTTGTTTGATTGAATTGGAATTTTAACGAATAAATTGCGAATCGTTAATGTCGTTGTTTAGTTATTTTCCCGTGTATAATCACGTAAAGTTCAAAATATAAACTACGGTATGAGAGCCATTATTTTTCATGGAATAATAAAATGACGTGTCATCGACTGAAATATCTGTGGAAAAAACAAATAAAAATAATTACTAACAATGTTTATCGATACTTTCGACCAGATTTTATTGTAAAATGTAGTAGGAGATACAAAATGTGTAGTTTTTTTTAATATGCGCACTTCACTACTTGAGAAATACGTCATGAAATAAGAAACCAAGAAGTCACCTGAAGATATAAGTAATAAATTTATATAAAAACCTCAAATTAATACCTAGTAAAAATAAAAATCTGTTAGATATTAAAAATATCTATTACAGAGATATTGATTGTTGAAAACCAGAGCACTTGTTATCGATGTTTTTGTTTACTTAAAAATTTTCTCATACCTCTCTGTGTAACGTTATTATTTTTTTTAGTTACATTTTACGATAATTAAATGAAAAATATAAAATACTCGTGAGACTCGTCATCAGTTAAACAACTAAAATGTATTAATTTTTACTCAATATTTTATAAGCTATTTTAGACTATAGTTATTGTAGGTATAACTCACTCACATGATCTAATATCCTCTTATGTTCATAACTCATAAGTCATAAGTTAAACTTGGAAATGAAACAATGTATACACATTGCAGCGTATTGTGATACAAAGCCCTTTCAAGTCTCTAAAATTTAAATTCTATTTAATCAGTAGTTCAAAAAAACCCCTTACAATAAAGCCTGCGTTCAATACCTAATACTAAAATAACAACAATATGTCGTAATCATCTTTAAAATTGAAACATATACAACTACAATAATACATTAAATATGTATATTGTATATTGTATATTGTATATATATACATATATATTTAAATTTATATTAAGTTTTTATAAATAAACGGCATAAATTAATATTATTTTTCATACAACACGAAATTAAATATTTAACTGTGTAATATAAACAAGTGAATTGTGTATTTCGAGTCGAAGTTATCTATGGAGATAGTGGTTGACAATTAAGTACTTTCAGAAAATTATACAGGTAGATGCAAGTGCACACGAATCCACCTCATATAATTATGTCACTGCTTATTACTGCAGGTTTCTCATGCGTACCATTTTCATTCCATTAAAGCATTCATCTAAATGACTACATTGATTTGTGATCCCACAGGAATAAACACTTTTCAGGACACAAAAGAGTAAAATATAATAAACCCCCGTTGTTTTGACATAACATTATATGTACTTATACACAAGAGCTCCTTTTCTGTCATATAAATATGTGTGTGGAATGTAACGATAAAGTTCTCCGAGTCACTTTACACTTACTGTCCTTTGAAAGGTAAGAGACACACCAAAATCATTAGCGCAGCACACTCGAAATTTTATAGTTACGGACTTACGGTAGACCGTATTATTTAATTAAACAATAACTTTAAACTTGTCAAAATATTTAAATAAATAATAAAAAGTTAAATGCAACTGTATAATTATTTCAGACATGGTACTAACGTTTTAGTTGAAAAATTTAATTATATTTTGGTAATTTTGTGATAAATTTATGATTTTGAATTCTCAGCTTAGGAATGAATGTATTTATTTCACAATGTTGTATAATTTTAATTTTTTTATTTTTTGACTGAAGACACTTTAAAAAAATGAAAAATTCACTTTATACTAACATTAATAGGGACTTCTTATGAAAAATCGGATCTATAATCTGTCTAGTAAGAGAACACACAAATCTTAAATATCTCTATGCGACATCCTACCATCGACATCAATTCCAAAATTGTAAAGTGTAACATGAGGATGCACAGAAAATCCGATATTTCTCTGAACGTGGCATTTTTAAGGGGTTGGACAAAAAATAATTATTAGTTATTTATTTTAGGAGGTAATTTTTTATTTTATTTTTTTGAATATTGGTCTCCTCTGTAAAAAAAATTATAAAAGTCCGATGCTGTTCTTTTTATAAAAAAAAAAAAAAAAAAAAAAAAAAAAATGAAAAAACAAAAAAAAAAAAAATGTTAAAACTAATCAATGCAAATCAATATATAACTTAATTTTACTTATTCAAAACCTAGCATTTATTGTATAATTGGTTTTGATCGAAAATATTTTTTTACGTGGTTCATTAATTCTAACATCTATCATGAAACCGTCTTATCGCCGAATTACATTTAAGTATCCGGGTGCGGGATAGCCATAATATTATTACATTGAATTAATATAATTTTATAATAGATATATATTATATCTTATAATTTAATATTTACGTATACAATTCTAAACAAAGTTTGAATAAATAACAAATAATTGTTGATAATGTTTTTTATGTACTTATATTGATATAAATTCAAATTCCGAACAAGATAATAATTATGCTTTATGACTGATATTTTGAAAATTCCAAACATCAAATGCGAGTATGTCCATATAACAATAAGTTTAAATCAGTTGAATGATAATGTCTGTTTTACTAGCCCAAAATTATCGTATAAATACGCGTATCGCAGACTATATGTTTATGTGTGTTCTGCAAAATATAAGGACTAGTGTGTCTCTATTAATACATATATATTTATATGAATAAACACACGCATTAAGCAATATTACACAGAAACGGTAGGTTACATTGGAGGATACAAACAATGCGAATCGTTCGACCATAGAATATGGCGTGAGTAACGGTAGTTATATTGTTCCACAAACGGATTCACCCTTCTTTTTGCTATTCTTCCCCTGTTACCGCATCCCCCGTAACACGTTGACCCTTAGGCAGGTAAATAGTGAGTCATATTATAATTCATGGCTAAATGTTCCACACTATTTACTGGGTAATTACCACGTTTTATTGGGCGTACGGTGCATAATGATTATATGACAATTCAATGGTAATTATACGACCATTTACATTATGTCACGTATACGGTGCACAATGCCGTATACCATATGTACACTAGGCCATGTATTGGTACTCTTCATCGTTTCGCATATAATGATAACTGTTTTTACACAGACCGATTTAATAATAAATTGATATATAATTATTAATTCCTATTTTTTTTTTTATATTTAAATATTATTATTTTAGCACTTAGCAATCAACACTGTACTTACACAACTGTTAATAATTAATAATATTCCCGTCAACGACTAATGTTAAAAATAGATTTGGACTTAATCTAACATTTAATCATAATGTAATAATATAATTTCATTTAAAATAAACTACTATAGTAGATAAAAATAATAATAATAATAACAACAACTTGTATTTAAATAGGAACCAGTCTTGACAATTAATTTAATCAAAAAGAAGATTAGATTTTTAAATAGTATTGAAAATGTTACAATCTATGAATATAAGTTACAAAATAAATCAATTTGAGAATTAACGAAAGAATAAATAAAAAAAAAAAATTAACAATTGAGGGTAAAACCGTTCAAAACATCACTTAAAATTGATTTTTTATTAATTTGATCTTTTCTTTTTTATAGTGCAAAATACGTTTTGGTAATTACTTCGATGTAAATTTATAAATCATAAAATGGTGAGGTTCATTTTTCTTTGAGTAATCTATTTGTGTTCAATATTTTACTGGTGAAATACGATACTTGGTATTTTGGGTGGTTGACATTTTTTAAATTGGATTCGTCAATGATAATAGTCAAAAGTAAATTTAATCATTTGATATTTAGTTTTAAATTTGTTTAAGAAAGAAGTTCATTGGACAGTTTTCCTTTCAATACATATTTTAGATATCACTTATATTGGTTAAGTCTTTGAGTATTTGGAGCTTGATTTAAAAACTTGTGAATAAGTTTGCCAATCGGAAATATTGATATTTAAATTTAAAATGCTGTCAATAATTTAGTTATGCATAATATCGTAATTTAAATAGTCTTGTTTAATAATTTTTTTATCATGATAAAATGGTCATTAATAAAAGAATTGTCGTATTTTTTTTGAAATCATGTATGTATGGTAAACTATAGGAGAATTGTAATTGTAAAGGGCACATTTGGCATGAGTATCGTGGTTTTTGAGGAAAGTTAAAGATTTATAGTTTTTGCCACTTTAAACACATCTGAAATTATCATTTGAATAAGACCTAATCTTACTGTAACTTTTTTATGATTATTGAGAAATTTAATTATAAATCTATACGAGTTTGACGAAAATGTACTTAATTATTTTGTGTCGAATTAACTTTTATGTGTAAATTCAGCTGATGTGATTCGATTATTAATTTAATTTTTTTTTTTTTCTGTAGACAAGATAATTTTGGAAGAAACATACAACATAATATTAAAGCCATTTGAAACATTTTTTTAGTAATTGATTTTTGTATGGGGAAGTTTGTTTGATAATTTTAGTGTTGTACCTATATGTTACTTTATTATAATATTAATTAGTTATAACTGTTATATAAGTTTCACACCAAGAGAAATAGAAATTTTTGTTGATAAAAAGATATAACATTTTTAAGAAATTCGAAGAAATAACGAAAGATAATGAATATAAAAGCAAACATATCAAATGCAAGACAACAATTGACTAGATAGTGAGGTAAATCTAAAATAAATTCAATTTTTTTTCATATTATAATAGGTTTTTTGTAGTTTAAAGTTTTAAATATTGTCTTAACATTTAAAACTTTGTTATTTGGATTTATTTAAAAAGCTATATAATTTCTTAAAGGTATATTATTTAATATACATATGTACATATAATAACAAATGGTGTCTAAAGTTATATTACGTCTAGTTTTTAAATTAATTCAGTTATTATAAAGAAAAAAACAAACTTCAAATAATTTCAAATAGGTACACACAACTTTGTATAAGCCATCGATACATTTTATTTTTAATAATACTAATTTTTTACCTTTGATATTAAAGATATGTACTTTTACCAAATAATTCTTATATATGATAACACTTATCGTGTTCTTACTACTTAGTACTCATAAACTTAATATCAATAAAATTGACTTAGCATAATAGTTATCCTATTAGCCAAATTTGGATGCGCTAATCATAGTATACTACATAGATCATCCCAC